AATTATTTGTATTATGTACGATTTAACTATACATATATCATCTTTCTTATTATGTAATTAATAATAATAACAACACATTGAACATATATGTTTCTGAAAATGCATATCGGGATATCGACGGGATTCGAACCTAAGATCTCTGGGTGGGAACTTAATATGCTAACGCTGAGCTATAATCGCACGCTTGTTTGAACACTTTGATATTAGACTGTCATTCATCTTGATCATATAATGGTTCAAATACCGTCGATATCTCATCATATTATATGTGTTTTCAGGAATATTGTATATCCAATAGATTGTAATTATAATAAGAAAGTGTAATATGAGAATATAATATATGTAAATAAATATAAGTTAATTATATATGTACACAGAAATAATTAAAAAAGTAAGAACTGTATTCTGAAAGTGATATAAAAGGTACCTGAGCCGAATAAGGTTCATCCACAGATTTCTATACGATATCTAGTTCACTACCTCCACAAAATAAGGTGAAGCCAACTTGACAAGGGAGGGGATAACGGTCATCTTTACCCGGTCATGACTAAACTACAGCATGCTATACCTTAATCTTATAATCGAGCTAAATTCCTCTAATCAAAGCAAAGTGTACGTATAGACTGGAATCAGAATACACATTGAAGATTGAGATTAAAGATTGAAAGATTGAAATTTGGCCAATCAAAATAATAGAAACTAAAATTCCTTTATTCTCATTGATCAAATGTCGCAATTTTGAATGCATCAAAATCGATATCAGTTTACCTAAACTTTACAGTATATTTATCTTACTTTATGCGTAAAATAAAGATAAGTTTACAAATCATTTATGCTTACTATGCATCACATAATAACTGCAAATGTGCATCATTTTATAACGTATTGCATATAATTATATATGATGTAAATGCTCCTTATAGTAATATCGTAAAAATAATGTTACAAATCTGAAATAAACTTTTCATACATATGTTATTGCAAAACTCTATGACCAAAAATTTAATCATTGAAATACCTAAATTTTATAATTCCCTTAATGTAAATGTTTTCACTTTTATAATGTCATAAGTAATCATAAAATTGTTCTAAATTTTCAGTAAATTCATTTGTGCATATCGTGATCATCATACAGTCTATCTGAGATCGTATAAAAAATATGAAATATTGTATTGTGTAATATACGTATCAGAGCAACATTTATAAAATATTTAAAATAATATTAAGGAAATATGTTTTAAATATTCGAAAATATATATTATTCGGCAATATTTTAAAAACATTTATATAATGTTATGTAAGAACGTTCATATAATATTTTTATATCATTGCATATATGTTGACTTCATCTAAATAAACATATATTAGAGCAACATTTATAACACATTACGAATAATATTACGGAAACATTTTTTAAATATTGGAAAATATCATATTATTCGGCAATATTTTAAAAACATTTATGTAACATTGTGTAAGAACGTTGACAAAATATTCTTATATCATTGCATATATGTTGACATTATCTAAATAAACGTATTAGAGCAACATTTATAAAACATTTCAAATAATATTACGGAAATATTTTTTAAATATTGAAAAATATCATGTTATTCAGCAATATTTAAATATTTTACACTTTATTATGGTACATTTTGACACAAAATGTTAAATAACTCGTAAACTGTTGACTTTTTGATTATCGTGCCTTAATACTTTTGTGAATAGAATAATAAGATAAATCAAATGGTATAAAGAAAACACATAGTTGCTTTAAAAAAAATATGTATGCAAAATGGATAATTTTTTAAATACGCAACTATGTGTTTTCTTTACACCATTTGATTTATCTCATTATTCTGTTCACAAAAGTATTAAGATACGATAATAAAAAGTCAACAGTTTACGAGTTATTTAACATTTTGTGTCAAAATGTACCAAAATAAAGTGTAAAATATCCCGAAAACTATTGGTTTTTTGGTATCTCTATCTTAATACTTTTATATGCAAAATAATTAGAGGAATCACGCTATCTAAAAAAATTACCATTCCATTTAAAAATTCCATTTAAAAAATTAAAGGTGACCTTCACGTAACCTTCAAAGGACTATCCAAGGTCAAATCGATGGCACCATCTTATGTCCCCCTTCGAGTCAAACAACTTTTGTCTGAAACGTTTCTTTCTAAAATGCTCTGCTTTCGAGATAAAAGGGGTGGACTGGGACACCCGTATATTGACATTATCTAAATAAACGTATTAGAGCAACATTTATAAAACATTTCAAATAATATTACGGAAATATTTTTTAAATATTGAAAAATATTATGTTATTCAGCAATATTTAAACAATATTTATATCACATTACGTAATAACGTTGATAAAATTCATATAAAATCAATGTTTCAAAATGTTAATGTAATGTTCCTTGCTTACTGGGTGACTTCAGAAATTAATCTTATAATACGATTATCAAGCTTCTATTACACGTAAGTTTTATTGTTTTTAAATAATATTTTAATAAAAGATTCACAATTCACATTAATTAATTAATTATTACGATACATAAGCTGTTCAAGAAATTATTGTTAAAATAAGTAAATATCTTGATTCAATCTAATTGTTTTATTTCCATTTTTAGAAATTCTTTACTCTCATTCGCTTATTCAAATCTGCCTTATTTAGTTTTCTTTGTAACAGATTGTGAGGTAGAATCTATGCTGAAAACGATAAAAAATTTTAAAATTGAGTTCTTCTTTACCATTTTTCAGTCCAATATGGCGTTCCAGAGCTGTCACGTCGTTGCAGATCAACATTTATAACATTTATTTCATATAAAAGCTGCGCAATCTGTACTTAAAAAATAGTCCACAGGCACGTAGTTTGCGTGAAGAAACAGCGTCAAGTGGTTAGAATTAGACTCAAACATTTTATCGCGACGAATTTACGATACGAAAATTAATAAGTAATGTGATTACTTGCATCACTGTCTCCGTGAGATATTATAATTTGGTAGCAGTGGAGTAGTAGTCCTAAAAAAAAAAGAACCCTGGCGGTCTGGCGGATGCTTTGAGCGTACGATTGCCACGGTTTTGAAACATCAATTCATGTATGGCGACAGGAGGTACCAAAAAAAGGTACTACATACAAATCGTGCCGTGAAGTTCGCCGTATGGATTGGGACGAGAGGAAGTAAGATGGAGAGAATGGCTAACCAATGGTTAGCCATTGGTTATAGTAAAGCGTCCAATTACAGTATATAGTACATATAAACTTTATCTAAAAGGTTCGATTGCTCCATGTTATACCGCCATGTTGTCATGTCGAAATTCAGGTTTCAGTAAATATTTAAATGCTTCTTTTTTTTCTTACCGTCTTATTACACAAACAAAAAAAAATTCATTTTAAATAATTGTAGAAAGAACCTTGGCGTCACAGCACCAAGCTTGGCTTTCGAAAGAAGTACCCTGCCGCCGCCAGACCCCCGAAAAAAATACCTTGGCGCCGCCAGGCCCCGCCAGGCCCCGCCAGGGCTCGACTACACTACTGTTTGATAGTTTCTCTCTGGTAGTATGTAAAAGATATGTCGATGTGTTGTAAAACAGCGACATCTGGCGATTTCGCCAGAGTTCGAGCTTTGTTTAGGATCCCCATAATATAAACAACATTTGTGTGTGTATGTGTGTGTACGCGGCGCGCGCGCGCATGCGTTTAAAAAACAGCATTTAAGAAATCAGGTACACACACACAAATTGATGTTATTTAATTTTTTATCAATTTATCTAACAATAATGTAATCATGCAATTTTATGCTTTTATATTTTTAAAAAGAAAATATTATAAAATATATTTTACATTTATATTATACGTACATATTTACAGTTATTACAATAAATAAATATTTTTATAAAAATAATAATATAAAAGTTGCTAAAGGACTCTTGATATAAACATAAACGAAAAATACAAGGGACATTGTAAGAATCATATAAATAAAATTTAAAAAGTATATTTTGTCAGACTATATAACTTTCACACAAAAAATTTAATATTGGTAATTGATGTTCTTTTGGAAAATGATTATCCATTATCTTTTATTTTTGAAACTGTCAAACAGAGCATTAAACAATTACAAAAAAAGAAACACCACGCACATAAAAACTAATGTAATATCCAGTAGTGATATATCCACATCGTTGCTTACGGTACCATTCATTCCGTTTCATACAGACAAATTCAAGAGATTCAATGGTGACGACATTAGAGTTTCCTTCGACAGTCCTAACAAGATGAGTAAATATAATACATAAAAGTACAGAAAGACATACGACCAAAAAACTCTAAGAACAATGTAGTATATAAGATCTCATGCGATGATTGTGATGCGACTTATGTGGGACAGACGGGTAGATAACTTAAAACCAGAATTGTAGAACATAAAGCCTCTGTACACGGTCAGTAATACTGTCAGTATCAACGAATATTGACAATATTATTGATTGTGTGTGGTTAATATTAATGGACATTAGATTGACATAGAATACTGACGATGATTTAGATTTAAATACATGCTTTTTCCTTAAGATCCATGTCGCCATAGATAATAATATACATCAAATCACGTCAAACTGAAGTGAAATATTATCAATAATACCTGATCGTATAAGATTATAAAAACTAATGTATACTGTCAGTAATACTGATCAGTAATACTGACTCACAATCAGTATTACTGACCGTATAGGGAGGCCTATAGGAATCATATTAAACATAACACATCTACACGTTCTGTTATCACTGAGCATAGGTTACAACATGACCATGAGTTTCGTTGGGATGACGTTGAAATTCTAGACGAGGAACCGTGCTACAGAAAACGTTTAGTCTCGGAGATGCTCAATATAAAAAGACAGAATAACAGTCTTAACTTGCAAATAGACACAGAAGGTCTCCATAAAGTATATTTTTCTATTATAAACAAAGATTTAACATTGTCATTTTGTGGCCTGTCTCAGTTGTCATCTAGCACTCACAGTGATAGCAAGTTTGAATTTATCGTGCAATCTGTAACAATGTGAAATAATACAATTAATTTTATAATTTTTGACTTCTACTTACGTTTATACACTGACGATCTATTTACGAATGCATTATACTATCAAGTCATTGTGAGAGTTCTGAATAATGATGTCCATCTCTAAAGGTTAGACAGAATTATAATTTATTACTAGAGAAATTTGTTAGATGTAAACCTGTTTAATTAGTTATTAATTAATTCATTATATTCAATAGTTTTTTACTTTCGATCTGTCAATTGTATGGTGAACAATGATACGGAGATGGATAATCAAGATTGATCCAATATTTAATTTCAAGTCTTTTGAGGTGCTTCTGAGGATGGCTCAATCCAAGAGCCGAAACGTCAAGTAGTCATTAGAAGTTTAGAAATGTAAAGTAATCTTTAGAATTTTAGAAATGTATAGCTTCTGATTTTTACAGAATCTTGTAATTTTTGAAATGTAAGATGATCTTTTATTATATGACTGTTATCTAACTTTTTAAATTTTATTTATATGGTTCTTACCAATGTCCCTTGTATTTTTCGTTTATTTTTATAAAATCTATCAATTGTCTAAATCGTACTACCACAAGATAAGATTGGTAATTGACAATAATAAAATTAATAATTAATATATATACAATTGTTAATGGCAAACATAAATTCAAGTTAATTAAATATATTTTGATGTCTTTATCTTTCACGATCATTTTTTTAAAATAATAGTATCTTTTTGATAAATTATTAAAATTATATTAAGAGATTTATTAATCTTAATAATAAGAAAAATATGGAGGGCAATTACGAGAGTTAATTGTCTATATAAATCAATAAATTTATATATGTAATAAGATTAAACTATATATATATATATATACATATATATATATATAGTTTAATCTTATTACATATATAAATTTACGTACATATATATACATATATACACATACACATTGTGACAAAACATTATAAATTAACTTTTTTCATTTTAGTAGTTCCTTTAATCACAAAATATTTCTATTTATACATACAAATTAAATTAACTATTAGAATTTACTAAATTTATGATTAAAAAATTAAAAAATAAATTTTCAAAAAATTATAATAAACAATATTTAAATACTAAATCTTATCTGTACATATGAGAAACACAACCAATGAGAAATTGCTTTTAACGGTTAAACTTTGATCTTAGGGGCTATTATAATTTCGTGTGAATTTATATATTACTCATATATGTCTTTTAAACCGCACGCTAAACAATTTTTCGGTCTTAAAACGTTACTCTTTGAACTACCGCAATAATATATTACAATAAATTATCTACCAATTTAACAATTTTGGTGCTCATAGCATCTTGGATCTTAATAATGTTGAATGACATGTTAAAAATCTGAAAATAGTTAATTTAACTAATTTTTGTATCGACCGTAAATTGTCTACAAACAATGAAGGAATTAAACGCCTATAACGGTCAAAGCTGGATCAAAGTGCTAATAATAAGTATGAGTGAATTCTTATACACCACATATGTGCCCCCCCTTTTAAATGCGCGCTGATACATCAGACATATAACGCATAAATACTCGCGCGGCCTAAAAAATGCGCTTTAATTACATATTTAAATATTAAAAATATTACGAAGAATATCACTACGTCGACTAGCCAACAGAGGTCTATAGTTACTCATTCCAATTCTCGCAAGTGCCGAATTATGTGAGTGATTGTTTATATAGAACTTCTTTCTAACATCTCCCCAAGGCGTCTAAGGTAGGTTTCCATTACATTGCCTTACTGATGAGTCCAGTAGTGGAAACCGGGACGAAACGCCAACTTGTGATATTTTTCGTAATATAAAGAATAAGATTATTGAGATCCGATGTATTTACGAATTTTAAATTATCATCCTTATATTTAAATTAATCAAGTATTATTCGGTGATATTATAATACTACTGTAGTATTTATGCGTTATATGTCTGATGTATCAGCGCGCATTTAAAAGGAGGGGCTACATATGTGGTGTATAAGAATTCACTCATACTTATTATTAGCACTTTGATCCAGCTTTGACCGTTATAGGCGTTTAATTCCTTCATTGTTTATAGTTAATTTATATTGCGAAAAATATTACCTCGGCCGGGAGTTGAACCAGGATCTCTGACATTCTGTGCGAGCGTCCTACCAGTTAGACTACCGAGGCCTTAATTATAATAAAGTTTTATTTTATAAAAAAGGTCTAATTTTGAGGGCGCATTAATTTTCTTAACCTATCTTGTACTTGTTTATCAGAAAAATTTGCTGGGTTTTGATTTTTCATACCTGAACACTTGAGATATTATATTCAAAGTTGAGTACAATTTTGTTCAACGTATAATAAACTTTCGTTTTAATCCATATCTTCATGTATGTTATCGTAAACTTACTATGCATAATGATAAAGTAGGTATAAAATTGACATCTAATTTTTAACCATAAGTGTAGTGTCAGTCAGCTTTCTGTACAGAGTATAATACAGTTTATGTATATAATTTCTATTTAAATGAACGAGACTAGTTAGTTTAAGTTGTATTTGCCGTACAGAATTTGACGTCAGATTAAATATAAGCATTTATACAAATTCAATTAAAGGTGAAGATGCGCGACATCGTATCGACCATGATTTGACCACTTTGGTCAAATTGCAGTCAGATTCACGTCGCGCTGACGTCTTATTACTGAATAATAGTTCATTGATGTCAATTCGACATCGCCCCTATCTTTTTATGCTGCTTGGGATACTTCTACAATTCTATTGTCACTGAGGTATTATGGTTTCATTTACATCTGATGAAGGCTCAATTCAGGAGCTAAAACATGTTATGTATTTATTTTAATTTTATTTAATTATAATTTTAATTTCAATTACATACATAAAGGACCCCGCACACTCCTTATGGGAAATGGCGTTCCGTGGATTTGGCTATAACTGTGCCAATTTGTTATTTAAGTCATACTGATGAAAAGTTATCATGGCCACAACTTAATCCTATGAGCCATTTTCAATGTATAGTCGCTCAAATGTCTGTAATAGTACGATTTTCTATATACATCCTAGGTAGCAAGATGATGTCAAATGACGTCTTAATAACATCTTTAGCATTAATGACATGTCATTAAGATGTCACTTTACGTCACCCTGTTACCTGGGATGTCATTTTTCATATTCTTAGCGTTTTTCAGGATTAACGTAGACTTGTTCAAATAGGATCAACGCGTTATTTCCTCCGCTACGATTGCGTGTTGCTCGCGTCTTGTTAAAACTACAATCGCCGAATTATTCTATTAATCTCGTATATTAGTCAGAAAACGAAAGAGTTTGATTAGACTGTTAGATGATAATTCTAATTCGGAAGTATAGCGTGAGTCTCGCGAGATCTTACCTGTGATGCTGAAATGAAGGCGTGTTAGCAGGAGATCTAACGAGAAGATAGGCAGTAAGAATGCACTCACAAAAAATTGCGTTATGAAATGCGGTGAGAATCTTTATTTAAGAAGAGTTAATAGAACACATTCTTAAGAGAACGGAATGGCAACTCAAACGATGTTGTCGAGTGCGTGTAACGGAATGCTTTTGTGCAGAAGATTTCGAAGAAAAGTCAATCGCTCAGATATACCAACGTCCATGATTATCTGCGATAAATCGGGGACGAGGAATGTGCGCTGTGACGGCGGATCGCACCATAATAAGACATTGCTAAACTGGCGAACGAAGCGCGGATTATACAGATATTATAAGCACATGACAATGAAAATAATACGAACTGACTAATATACGAGATTAATAGAATAATTCGGCGATTGTAGTTTTAACAAGACGCGAGCAACACGCAATCGTAGCGGAGGAAATAACGCGTTGATCCTATTTGAACAAGTCTACGTTAATCCTGGAAAACGCTAAGAATATGAAAAATGACATCCCAGGTAACAGGGTGACGTAAAGTGACATCTTAATGACATGTTATTAATATTAAAGATGTTATTAAGACGTCATTTGACATCATCTTACTACCTAGGATGTATATAGAAAATCGTACTATTACAAACATTTGAGCGACTATACATTGAAAATGGCTCATAGGATTAAGTTGTGGCCATGATAACTTTTCATCAGTATGACTTAAATAACAAATTGGCAAAGTTATAGCCAAATCCACGGAACGCCATTTCCCATAAGGAGTGTGCGGGGTCCTTTATTAATTTATTTATATATACGACTCTCGTAATTGCCCTCTACACTTTTCTTATTGTTAGTGTTTTGACATCGACAGCTTTGTTTATCAATATTTATTACTAATCTTATTTTTTTTACTACAACATTTTTTTACAACTTTATTTATAAATTCAATTTATTCAAAGGAGATATGATTTAGAATATCCACAGATACGATTTAGGAAACCGATTGCTTAAATCATACCTTTGATAAATGTTTACTTTTACACAGTTAATTACCCAAATTTCCGAGTGACCTTGATCTTAACCCTCACGAAGTTTAAGATCATTAATAACCTTTTTTTTCGTCGCTCGCTATTCGTTAAAAAGTTATATATATATATTAACAGAAAAAGTTCTCAAATATATAACATGAAAATTCCCTGCTTTAAAATATGTTATCAAGATAATAAATACTGTAATTTTCTTTCAGCATCTCGTCTGAAGCCAACACTCATCCCCCCTCTTCGCTGCATTCTTTGAAATCATTTGTGAAAAATATATATCCTATTAATAATATTCTTGAATAAGTTTTATTGTAGCAGTAATGAGATGTTATGACTTTTTAATTCTTTTGGCTAAAATTTGTAAATCTTTAGAGGGCCGGGCTGGCTACTATAATGTTCAATAACAGAAGTCTGTATAACTTGAATCACCGCAAATTACCCATCAAATGTTCAGCTATACATAATTAATAAAAAATAATATAAATAAAAATAAATAAAAATAAAAATAATTATTAAATAATTAAAAATGTAAAAAAGAAATAAAATATAAAATACAAATTATTTAAAGATCAAGTGGTTGAGTTAAAAATAAAAATAAGAAGAAGGAGCATATACCACACGCTGGTTAAAAGTAGCGAAAATTTCGTATATTTAATACTACTAAATTTACTAAATTTACTAAATTTAGATACATCAAATTATATTTTGGTTTTAATGTTTGTCTGTTACTCAATCAATGCATTAAATTGATGAGGAATAATGTAAATATTAGAATTCGCATATATTTTATAAGAAATTGTTTAAAAGAGAATTTAATACCAGTACATCTAAAAAGTGTTTTAAATTGTAACATTGATATACAAAGTTCTTCCATACATAGACTTAACAATATTAAAACTAATTGTATACACAAACTTATGAAATTTGAACTCAAAGACGCATATAAACAACTTAATGTAATTCGCAACGACCTTTTTAAAATTTATAGACGAATTGATAAAATGTTGCCAAGTAACATATGTTCTTCCTTCTTTATGTACCAAGAAAAGAAATTTAATGGATTATGGAAATTAGAACACCTCAGAATTAATAAAAAAATTGAAATTTTAAAATCTAAATCTAAAAAAAGGATCAAACCGATTGAATATTCGGTCAGAGTTGATCATTCTATTGAAAATTCAGAGTTAAAAATTAACAAACCTTGTATATTGAACAGTATATCAAAACCTAATTATGACACATCAAAGAATATTAATTCAACACTCTTAAAATCTAATTCGTATAACATTAGCATCAATCCTGATCAATTTATTACTAATTATAATTTCAACACAATAAATAAAAATTGGATTATTAACACCACTAACATTAACATTCCAGATAGTGTAAATTCCATCTTACAATTAGGTGATAAGTTTAATTTACCTAACAATATGCATAATAATGAAAAAATGACCATAGAATTTATAAAAAACATTGAAAGTAACATTAATATATTTAATGATCAATTAAAAAATAATATCAGAAATAAATCAATTCCAATTTTAAACAATATAGGTAAATTCGATTCTGATTACAATAATTCAATCAATATAAAAAATTTATACAATACAGTAAAAACATTTTCAAAAGAACACCCAAATATTTTAATCACAAAAGCTGACAAAGGAAATGCTACTGTTGTATTGGATATTAATGAGTATAATGACAAAATGAATGAAATACTCTCTGACACGAATACTTATGTTTTAATTAATAAAGATCCATTAAAAAGATTAACAAATTGTACAAAAGAAACTTTGGTTAGATTGAAGAATGAAGGATATATAGATCAGTCCGTTTATAGAAGACTTTTGGTTACTGATGGTGTATTGCCGAGATCGTATGGGCTTACCAAAATACATAAATCAGGTTATCCACTTAGAATAATAGTCAGCTGTATTAACAGTCCATTATATCCATTGGCAGATTTTTTTAAAAATATTATTGAAAAAAGCATAACTCACAATAAATACGGTTCGATCAAAAATAGTTTTGAGTTGGTGAAAATATTGAATGGTAAATCTTTAAACTCTGATTACAAAATCGTTTCATTTGATGTAGTCTCCATGTACACTAACATACCTTTAGAATTGATTAATAAAAGTATTGACAAACGATGGGACAAAATTTCTCGCAATACATCAATTCCACTTAATGAGTTTAAAGATGCTTTAAATATGATCATTAATTCAACCTTTTTCAGATTTAATAATAAGTTCTACAAGCAAATTTTTGGTATGCCCATGGGATCTCCCTTATCTCCGGTACTCGCTAATATAGTTATGGAAGATCTTGAGACTGAAATTTTATCAGCCATCAATATTGACATTCCCATATATTATAGATATGTGGATGACACGCTATTAGCTATTCCTCATAAAGAAATTAAAAAAGTTTTTGACACCTTTAATTCCTACCATAGTAGGATTAAATTTACACTTGAGGAAAGCATTGATGGTTGGATAAATTTCTTAGACGTAAAACTGTGTATTGAGAATGGAAGAATTTTATTTGATATTTTTAAAAAACCAACTAATTCCGGTAGATACCTCAATTATCATTCCAATCATCCTTTATGTCATAAAAGGGGCGTGATTACATCACTTTTCGATCGCATCCTTTTGCTTTCACATCCAAAATTCCACATTAAGAACATCCAAGAATTAATTAACACTTTAACTAATAATGGTTATCCTCTCGATTTCTTATTTGCATCAATAAATAATAGAATCAAATCTTTTATACATAGTCAAAATAATGACAATATACATAATAAAGATACATATGCAAATAAGAAAAAATTTTTCTGTGTACCGTACCATAATAAAGTGTCTGAAAAATTCAAAGGAATTTTTGGTGTTGACTCTGAGATCAA